TTTCGCTTTAGAAATAATTTTTTTAATTTCTAGTATTAATACGAATTAATACGTTAGAACTAGATCGAATTTGATTTTACTTTTGAGATTTTATTAAAATTTATTTCTCTATTTAAATTTTGATTATTATTATTATTTATTATTCTTTTTTTGTTGGACTTCATTACTTTGTACGTTCATGATGAATTTTATTTAATGATTCAATGTTTTCAAAATTTTCCATAATATCATTTGATTACCTCGTGTAAATTTTCATCGTTCATTCTTCTATTCACTTCGTTATTCCATTTTATTCGAATACAAATACAAATGTAAATACTCACTCGAGAGAATCGTGGATCTAGGATTTTCGATGAAAATTTCGATGAAAATCTTTTTTTTCTTCCCTCCTCCGTAAACGGGGAAAAAATAACCGGTAGACGCACCCTTCTGAAGCTCAAATTAATTTCCTCCGGGTCAATTGTTCGGCAAACTGCGTGGCAGCGGAAGCCGCGAGAGGATATCAAATTTCGAGAATATTTAATAAAACTTTTTATGGGATATTCGAATGCTCAACCTTGTAAAGTGTATATTCGTATAAATAGAATCTCTCTGGATCAGTGTAGCAGGGAGATGGCGGAAGTAGAACGGCGGAAGTAGAGACGAGAGTAATTAAAAAAGCAATTTTTTCGAGACTAAAAAAAAAAAAAAGAAAAGAGAAAAAGAAGAAAAAAAAGAAGAAAAGAAAAAAAGAAAAAAAAAATCTCTTTTATCGATCACTACCAATAGAAACAAAAATATTTTCTCGCGATGATTTTGTAAGAAGGACGAAGATGATCACTAAAAAAAAAAAAAAAAAAAAAAAAAAAAACTTAAGATATGTTTTATCGAGACAAAAATATATATTCGTTATTTTTTTATTTTATGATAAAATAATCAAAAGTATACCACGTTGCGTGTACATCGAAAAGACGAAAGAATTTATAATTCATCCCGTTGACAATTATTTCCTAATAAAGTTGGATTAAAGACCACGTAGCAATAAAACAAACTTCCATTCCATAGGATCATCGATCCTATCGAGCGTTTAAACTAGAAATTAAGCTCATCCGCGAGCGCATTCGATATCCAATCGATCAGCCTCCCCCAATTTCGAATGCCACACTGTGAAAAAAATCGACGAAGGAAAGGAACGAAGAGAGCAGTTTCGAATCTTGTAGTTCCCCTCGTCGGTGCTCGTAAGCGTGGAGGAGCCTTTAGGCGAGCAGGCTTTAATCCGTATTAAATTAAATCGATTTTTTGCTCAGCATCGTAAAATAACAACGCTCGAAAAATAACAAAAAAAGAAAAAGGAAAAAAAATTACAAAAAAAGAAGAGAGAGAGAGAGAGAAGAGAAGAATGTATCCGTATCCGAGCTTTCGCTTATCGCTAATTAGCGAATGCCGCGTGGATCTGGGATTATTTTCTCGCGATATACGTCGAACTTACCCTCTCTCCTGTTCCTCCTCCCTTGTTCAGAGAAGACATTTTCTCTCAAAAGTCGTAGGAAAAACTCTTTCTTTCTTTTCTTTTCTTTCTTATCAACAATCTACGTTAATTTAACTTGTCAGATTAATTATGAATTTATCACGTTTAAAAATTTTTAATAATTTCGCGCCTAACTTTACATTATTTTCTATTATATAAATATAAAACAAATTTTAAATTCATCATTTTTTTAATAATTTAATTAGCCCACTCATTTATTTACCCTTTTAATTTTTCCAAATCAAACCATCCTATGACCTTTGAACAGGGATGTATGTATATGTATATAGTCACGATGCGTGTCAAAACGAAAATAAAATTGATGAAAACGCACGTAAAACGATGACAAAGTTGATTAAACAACGGAAAAAATGGAGACTCGTAGGAAGAAGAGCAAGGGTGGGAGGAGGAGCAAGGATGCAAACGGATAGATCGAAAAATCGGTGCCAAACACACACACATACATACACGCACAATTTTTAGACGTTTTAGAACGAGGAAAGCGTATCAAAAGCGATGATTGTCGGAGGGAGGGCGCGAGAGCAAACCAGCCTCCGTGGGCATATGCGTATAAGAACGAGACGAAACATGGTAAATATCGAACACCCCCTGGTTCTCTGCTCTCGAGCGTTCGACGAGCCCCATGAGAATCAAACGAGGAAGAAGTGTGAAGGGAAGGGGAGGAGGGAAATGGTCGGTGGTGAAGTTTCATAGAAAATGACGTCGGGGAGGAAGGTTCAACGTTGAACCCGATTTTAACACGATTATCTTTTCACTTAGCCGGCCCAACGTTTAGATTCGAGGATAGTTGGGATAATAGGGGGTGAGAAAGTGAAACGAATTTATCTATGTGACGGATCTGTACTTTTTAAAGTCTCTTTTTTTAGAAGTCTAAAGGAAAGATTTTTTTTTTGTCTCGAGGAAAAAGAAATCTGAAAAATCAATGTAGGTATCTACGTATATGTGCGAGAATTTTTTTCCAGAATTTTTGCTTATTATTGCTGAGACGTGAAAAAGAAGATGGAGATTGGATTCTGTTCTTCGATTGAAATTCGATGTGAAAAATATTTTTCTTTGGTATTATAATTAATAATTCGATAATGGTCCATCATCGGATAAATTTTTCGTTTCAAAAATTTACTTTTGCCGTTTGCTGTATTTGATTGCATCCTATACGACGAAAAAAGAAAAGAAAAGAAAAGAAAAAAAAAGAAAGAAAAAAATTATATTTTCAATATTTTTAATAACAAATAATAAAAAGAAAAAGTATCACACGTTTCGCATTCATCTCTCCGACGCGTTTTATATCCGTAGCCTAAGCTAATTCGATCGTTTTCTAATAAGCGATAAAACGATAACCGGAAGCGAAGATCAAACGAAGATTTAACAGATTGTCGTGAATTATTCTATATGCAATACGTATACTCCTGAACAGAATCGAAACAGAAAAAAAAAATACATCTATATACGATATTACATGCATACATAAATATAAATATATATAAAAAAATAAAAAATGAATATAAATATATTATTATATTACACATACTTTCGATACCTGTGTGTCCACGTTCTTATCGTATCCGTTTTTTTCATAAGAATGCAACGCGCATATGTATGCGTCTGTGTTTCCAAAAAAACACACCGGCATAATTATACACAATGATAATTGTTATTATCAAATACGTAATTATTATATATACATATATATATATATATTCTTATATATACATGTGGATGTATATGCGTAAAAGCAAGCAAAGAATAATAGTAATAATAATAATAATAATAATAATAATAATAATAATAGTAGTAGTAATAATAAATATAGAAAAAATAAAAAAAAAAAGGGAAAACGGAATATAAAAGAGGATAAAAGCGGAGGACAACAACAACAATAGCAACAAAAACAACAAAGGGAAAGAAAAGAAGGAAAATAAAATTTAAATTACGGATGCGATATATTCGATATTGCGAGGAGCAGAATTTTTTTTATTTCCATCTCAGCCATTCCCATGACGACGGGAATCGTATCATCGACGAAGATTTACACGTGATTCTAGAGAATCACGTCCCAGCGTGCAAGTGTGCATACGAAGCACGGAGTATAAATGTAGCCGCAGCAATCAGACTCGATGTAATAATAATATCGACACACGAGCAAGTGGCGCGTACCGTGACCTTTGAACCAATGGCACGTGGCACCGACCTCCAGGTGCGGCCGCACTTGTTCGCGACATTACACGCCGATGCACCTGTCGACCGGTGCATCGAATATACATAGCGCGCGCACACGTTGAGCAGGTCAGGAACGTTCGAAACGTCATCGTTGGCCTATTAACACGTTCCGCGCGTTTCCATGCCCCCCTCCCCCAGATTTAACCCTATTTTCAAGTGAACAAGTTGAATGTTCTCAAGTGGTCCTCGAATTATTTTAATTTTAGTTTATTTTATTGGGAACAAATTTTTATGAACGGCGGTATATATTTTTTTTTAATTATACATATACATATGTATGTTACGTAATTATATAATAATCTGTAGACACGCGTATTTATATTATCTTTCTTTTTTTTTTAATTTTTCAGAAATATTGAGATACTTGAGATAAAAGAGTAATTATTCCTTTTTGACCTCGATATATATATATTCATTTCTCAAGAGGTTAATTCTAATTTAATTTAATTAATCCAATTTAACTTCTTCTTTTCGAACATGAATGTAACGTGACACGAATAAGTCAATTTATGAATTAATCACGTAAGGGATTTTAATTTCCGAATAAACATTCTCTTTAATTAAGAAAAAATAACACTTGATTAAATTTCTAGAATTTAGTTTTCCTTTTCTCCTTTTAAAAATCCTATTTCTATTGAAAATAATTACGATAATCGGTGGCTCGATACGACGCAGAACGTGTTAAGACCACGGTCATTGCGACCGGTAGAAAATTATTCGATCGGCTCATTTTTGCGGAAAGAAAGATTAAACCTTGTTCTCGTTTGAAGTTTGAAAAAAAAAAAAGAAGAAGAAGAAGAAGAAAATGTCAATTTGACGTGGACGTGATTCGATGTAACGTCGATAAAATTGGAAAGTCGTTGGCATTTTATTCGGACTTGGTGGTTGATATTTTATTCGAAGTGGACGAAGCTGAAGTGATGCGTGCTTGCGAAATGGAATATTGAAATCGCTTTGTCGACGCTGTATTATTTTCGTTCGACGAATGAAATTTCCTTTCGTACTTATTCCTATTTTCGTTCCCACGTATTGATTTCTTTCTTTCTTTTTTTTTTTTCTTTTTTCGCAACCGTATACAAGTTCGTGGAAAAAGAAGGAAATTTTTTAAAAGAAAAAATATCGCGAAACGAAGTGTTATAAAAAAAAAAAAAAATACGAACGGGATGCGATTTTCTTTTCTTTTTACGTTTAATAATCCAAAATGAATGTCGCGAGAAAAAGGAAAAAGAATATACAGAAAAAGAAAGGAGTAATTTTTTTTTTTTCTTCCCCATATTACATTTAATATCCCGAAAACGAACACGCACGTTCTCCATTCAATAGCGTTGGGCTGTATGCGGTAACGCGATCGCCGATTGAATACACCCTCGCGATACGGCCTCGTTGCGAGCCACATATACACGAAACGCATTTCATATGCTCTAGAATGGAAGTGCTCGAATAAACGTCCTTCCATTTCGAGGGTTCGATAGTAGAAGGCGGGTAGTAGAAAGATTGCTTTTGACGATCCTACGCTTCCAATTGTACGATCAATTTTTATTTATCGTCTCGTTGCTCGTATCCCTCTTGTGCTTTGTATATAATATCTTTTTTATTTGTGTGCCATTGTTTGTTCACAAAAATACGATTCCTTTTTTTTTAAATTTATTTATAACCAAAAAACAAGCGAGTGGGAGGAGATTATAAATTGAATGGACTGCTCGAGATCTGCGGACAGAGACATAATTTTACCTTGTTTTAAGGGTAACGACGCTCGTATATTGCGAGCCTTAACGCACGAGAAATCTATTTTTGCAATATTATCACCATTGTACTCGGCATCTGGACGAAAAGAGGTACATACACCAGGGGGGCGACGATCCCCACGGAGTGTCTTTCTGAGAGAACTGGATAGGGTATTCACCCTCATCAGAGATCCTCGAGCAATGGATGTCTGAAAGACAGGCTTGAATACGTATTTTTAGTCTCATTCTAATCAACGTGATTGAATATCATTATATCATTTTTTTTCAAATATAACCGAGTTATCAAGCTCTTTTCATTTTTGTTTTTTTCTTTCATCTTTGCTTTTTTTGAAATATCCTCCTTTTCTTCGCATCGAAGAATTTATTATCGTTACATATAAAATCTAAAAGGAAATGTAAATTATGATATCTAGACTAAAATCGCGTTTTAAAAATAACGATCGTATCTTCTTGAAATGTATTTTAAACAAGTATACCAAGCTTTTCTCTCTCTATATATATATTTTTTTACACAACACATCATTACTTGCAACGCACAACACTTACAAATATAATGGAGAATTCGATAAATTTCACGAATATTTCCATTTTTTCATATAAAAATAATTAATTTAATATTTTTATTCCAACACGAGCGATAACAAAATCGATGCTCGGAAAATTCCATACGATATAAAAATAACCATCGTTTCGCAAAAAAAATATCGAGATGT